AGGAGAAAGACCATTTAAATGCGACGAAAGAGAATGTGGCAAAACGTTTACCCGAAACGAAGAGCTGACTAGGCACAAAAGGATCCACTCAGGACTCAGACCTTTTCCATGTTCACACTGTGGAAAACGGTTTGGAAGGAAGGACCATCTGAAGAAACATTCTAGGACGCACTTTCAACCCAGAGGAATATACGCAGTACCAGTTATGTTACCTTTCGAGACGTGGGCATCTTCGGCTGGTACTATGCCGTTTGTACCAATGTTCGGATACTAAATTTAGTTGTTTCAATAATATAATATCAGCATGAATTTTACTGTATTCTGACTTTTGGCAGGCAGAGTGATTCCATCGCACAGTGGCCTAGAGCACCGAAAAGGTGGGCAAAAAAAACTTTCTACGGCATTATTACGATTTTCAGTACAACAGGGTTTTTTGAGTCGCCGATTTCATATCTCTTTTTCTCTCTCTCTTTGCCTCTATGAGGGCATTTGAAGGTCACTTCAGGATCATATCAAGGACACTTTCAAACGAAACGAAGCAGTTGCTCCCAAGAGGTCAATTAGTGACCGTAAGGGCATCTGACGATCATCTCAAGGTCGCTTCAAGGACAAATTTAAAATAAGTCCAGTATACGAGTCCAGACGGATGATACATTTGAAATAAAAGTCCATACTTCCTTTGTCAAAATATATATCCAGATGCACAAATGTTTTCAACACACAACATATTGGATCATTCAAAAACTCTTCAACTTTACCGTTGAGAAGCAGTGTCGAATGACACACCACAAACTTCAAGTTTGATAGTCTGCCATGGTAAACGTATTGCAAGCACAGTTTTGATCCCATGCTAGCTTATTGTTTACGGTGCTAACTTCAAAATAAGTGATAATTTTTATTCATTTTCGATACTCCGTTTTATCAGTTTTTGTGAGCTTTTCGCTTATATAGACCACTGTGCATCGCAATGTGAAAAATTGTTGCTCAATCTATATTTTGTAAGATGCTTTAAAATGTAAATAACTGTATGTATGTACATATCTCTTGTGTATATATTGTATTTGTGATAGCAGAGTGCCATTTATTTACTAAAGTAAGACTACACGAAGAGGCAATAAATATATTTTTGAGAAATCCGTATTTTCTTCCATCTGCAAGCAATCTCGTCCATTTGATACTGTTGAAAGCCCCAGTTACACCAACAGCATATCTAAAGTTTTGACCTAATAAGGTATGTCGCACGATCAGTTTTTGCTGTAATGTGATACTTATTGACTGTGTAGCGAGGACGTCAGTATTTATTAATGTATAAGGTTAAATAGAAATCAAGCCGACTAATTCCTAACCACGTTTTTTGCGATCATTGTATTTATTATAAGAAACGCTATAGATAGAGGTAGCACATTTATCCTGAAAAAGATATATTCTGTTAATTTTGAGCAATTTTTGATAGCCCAATAAAGTAAAGAAGCAATGAACCTCGAAAATGACAAGTGACATCACCCTTATTCCCAAGGTACGGGTACGTTAAACGAATACGAATGCTAAAATTGTTACAGAGTAGTAACAATTTACAAATGCAGCCCTGATGCTATAGACCACATTGAATAATGACATCCGCCTATGGTCTTGCGATATACGGGAGGGATGACAATACTCATATTTTACAGCTTTATTTTAGTTTGTCCGGTTTATCATATTTTTTGGGCAAGTGCACATTGTTGTGGGAGGTTTGAGATTTCTCAAAGCTGTTTATCATATTTTTAACGTCACGTGAAACTATAAAGGTATGTGAACCTATAAAAAATCTAGGCATATTTTGATATTTCTTGATGAATGTCTAAATTTTATTCCTGATGTGAACAATGTTACAAAATGTTTTTAGTACTTTGGTAATTATATTTGAGCAAACAAATTCTCGATTACAAAACTAAAAAAATTCTCTGTGAGTCATTAATTATTTCAAAAATTATTACTGCGACATTACTTATCATCCGTTTTTAGATTCATTATCTGTCAAGCGCTTGCAAAAGATTCAAAATTCATGTTGCTGATTAAGCTGTAACTTCAGAAAACCACCTTACTTCCTCCTCCTCCGTTTCTGAAAGATAAATTAGAATTTCATCCTTATATGCACTCACGAGACACTCGCTTTAATGATAAAATGTCTCCTCACAGAATTTCATTTTCTACCAAATGATTGTAATGTGTAATGCTATTATCATTTACAATGCCCTCTGAGACTAAGGCTTTAAATTACGAGAATTTCAAAACATATTTAAAAAATCATTTTCGAGCAATCATTACCAGAAATTTATCGCTCACTTCTGCTTATAATATATGTGACAAGAAAAGGTGAACACCTCTACCTATGTTTATCCGACTTTAATGATTTTAGGCATATACGTTCAGTGTCCCTTACTAGTAAAATTTCTAAATAGTCAGTTTGATTCGTCAACTGACTGCAGAAGCTGTGGTATATGATGTTTTTATTGTTTATTTTATGGATAGACATCTTACGGGTAAAGTGGTAGAATAGGTTATGCTAAACTTTGACGAATAAAGACGTATTATTATTAATATTATTAATTTATTACTAACATTGTATGACTGAATATACAAATATTTAGTCATAGCTGAAATATTTTTGTTGCAATAGCTCTAAAATATTTTTTGCCAATATAGATGTACGAGAGCGATTTAGATGTGTTGGAATTAATAGAGTATGAATTGCCCCCGATAGGTGGTTTATGCACAATAAAGCTTTATAGCCCATTATAATGTTACATCCATAAATAAGGCATTTTCCAGAGCAAAACATGTTGGAAAAATGGGTTAATAACCTTGTCACTCTTTATGTTATATACTGCTGTGACTGCTTGCCAATCTGGTAATGTATCTCGGTGTACAATAAAGTGCACTGTCGCTCCACAATCCAGTCAAATTGCATGAAATAGGTTCACTTTGCACTTCCCACGCCACGCTGTCAACAGTTCATCAAAAATTACGTTCGGTTCTTAGAAGAACGTAACCTTCGTTTCTCAAATATCTCTACAAAGCTGTAAGTCTTACATTCAGTGTTCACCGTGATCTATTAGTAACATGTTTTAAGCGAGATATTTATGTTGCTTAACATAATTATGTTATAATTGGATAAGAACGTCTGCGACATTCAAGACTCAGGATGAGAACTATGCATCACTTACATCGCAACAATCTTATCTACGTTGGACGCGAAGATTGAAAATATATCTCTTTAAGCTTTCAGGGCAAATGTACAGGTTAGCAACCGATTTTCAAAACCTATATATATATATAGGTTTTTCGTCCGTGTTACAGTAGTAACTTTTTGTCAAAATTTCATCAAAATCCGTGTGGTAATTTCCAAATAGGTAGACAAACAGATCGCCGGAAATGAATCATGGTTCTTGGAAATTTACATACTTAATATTTCATTCTCGAAAATTTTCTCCATGCCTCGCCAATCGACGTGGTAAGTTAAAGCGATGAGACTTCATGCATACGATATTAGTACAATAGTTTAATCGAATTGGCTAATTACGTACTTTCTAACTTTGATGCTTGCTCTAAATTCGAAGAGGTGAAACTCAATCCACTTTTTTTCGGAGATTGAAGAAGATCAAGACAAAGACATCATATGACTGGCACTAGTCGATTGGCTCTATTTGACACGATATTTTTGTAACACCCTGTGTCACATTAACAATTGCTGTGTTATTTTCTTGGTAACTCATGTTGAAACGGAAGAATAACTAAAACTTGATTCAATCATTTTGACCAGTGCAACCAGAACCAAAAGGATAGGGCAATAATTGAATCGCTTATTTGAGAAACCCCTCATGTCCATAAATTCAACATTTTTTTGACTTTTTGAACTCAAAGGTATATTCTCATATAGATGCACGTTTTGGAGAGAAAGCGCATATGTCCAACTGATATAACGCTGTCAGCGCTAGTTCAAAATATAGATTTATTTGAGAAACCCCACAAGTCCAGGACAGGTGGTGTTTCTCTAACAAACGGCTCCTATCTTCTACGCGAAAAATGACATACGCATGCGTTGCGGGTGTTTACCGTTAGCTCATTTTCACAATGTATTCGTGCGAGGATGACCTTTCCGCGGAAGTTATTCCCATAAAACGCAAAAAGGGACAGAAACAAGTTATTTATAAAAATGAAGTGATTAAAGGTGCGCGAGTGAGAGGTAAAGAATATCTGCATTACAAAGGCATAAAAGTAAATCAGCGGACAATAGGTGAACCATGCCGGTAAGAGAAATACTAGTTATTTGATTTTTGTCGGTCAAAATATCATTTTCCACTTTTAGGTGTAGGTCATGCTGTTTTGATAAAATTCCCGAAGGTGAGCGGCAAGAGATGTTTGACAGATTTTATGCTCTAGAGACGAAAAATGAACAAAATGCATATATGCAGGCTCTAATAGAGTGCTCAGAGATTTCCAGGAAACGACCTACAGTGGACCAAAATAATGCAAAGCCAAAAAGCAAATCATACAAATACTATGTGTCTTCCAGTTCGGGAAAGCACCGTGTATGCAAAACAACTTTTATTAGTATCCATGGAGTGACTGTAGACCGTGTTTGTCGCTTGAGTAAGTTAATATCAATGGGAAAGCCACCTAATGATAGAAGAGGCAAAAAAACCCCAGGGAATGCAAAACCTTGACAGGTGGCCAGGCAAGTAGAGGAGCATATTCGTTCATTTCCAGTTAAAAGGTCACATTATGGTAGCCGTGACTATCACTACCTTAGTGAGAAGCTGGATATAAAAAAAATGCATGAATTGTTTCTTATAAACAATCCCAAATCATCTGTAAAGTATCGCTTTTACCGCAAGATATTCGAAGAACATTTCATCTTGTCTTTCGGTAGACCACAGGTCGACACCTGCTGCACCTGTCAGGAGCTTTCCAACAAAATTAAATCTAAGGCCTTGAACGATGTTGCTAAACGTGTGGCGGAAAAAATAGTTCACCAAAGAAGAGCCAAAAAATTCTACAGCAAAATGAAGTCGATTGACGAGTTATGCCAAACAGATCCCAGTGTAGGAGCAATTTGCGTGGACTACATGCAAAATCCTGCACTTCCTGTTATTCCGGTCCAGGACACATTTTAGCTTCATCAACTAACTGTCAATGTCTTCAATATCCACGACTTAAAATCTGGAAGAACTATGTTTTATGTATATCACGAAGGTATGGGCAAAAAATAACCAAACGAGGTGTGCTCCTTCATTATGCACTTTATAAACAATGATGCGGTGGTCATAATAAAAACCATTCAGTTCTTAGAATGTGCTTAGGTTTTACAGACCTTGGACGATTCAAGACTGAACCAATACTTCCCAGTAAGAGGCCATTCGTACATGCCATGTGACAGGGATTTTGCCATGGTGAAGAGAAAAATTAAGAAAAATGACCGAATGTATAATAAAAGATATGTTTCCTTGATTCTCAATTCAAGCACTAAAAATAAATTTTCCGTCTACGTAATGGGTGGAGAGAATACATTGATATGAAATGGTGGCCCCTTTACTACAAAATCTGTCCACAGAATCTTATGGAAGGGGTGTTAGAAAAGAAGATAAAATTTCATTTTCGATTTCAAATTTCATGCACTTCAGCTACAGCAATGACGAAAAGGGCATTGTGACTGCTCGTGACTTCATTGATGGCCTAATAAAGCAAGAATTTAGGTTGGGAACATCTACTGCTGTTAGAACGTTTCCCGAAGTGGTCGCATACCCTAACTCAAAAGTCCCAATTTGTGCAAAAAGATGGTAAGCATCAGAAAGATCGAAAAATTCATCGTAGAAAAAGGTGAAGAAATCGAAAACTTCTATAGGGAGATATTTGGATGGCCAACTGTTGGTGGCACCGATGACGATGTGGATGAAAATTGACCGAGATACATAAAAGTCTTTTTGTCATTTTTTCAAAAAACTCTCGTACAAACAATCAAACTTCATATTTTTTTACTTGTTATCATGATGATTTAAGGTATTTTTGCATATAACAGTTTTTTCAACTTTTCTCGCGATTGTTATTTTTGGACATGTGGGGTTTCAGAAATAACTGATTCAATTATTACTTCCACAAATTAAATCTAGGACTATTTCTTGGCGGATTTAACTTGGACAATCCTTGGTAATTGTAATCAGTTGTCATCTCTAATAAGTGTTTGGCAGTTATCTTTCTCTGAAAAACATTTTTTAATAATTTTACTCGTACATGAAACTACAATTTTCAATGTAGTTGGTTATACATAGCTCTTAAGTTGCTTTTCCATCAGACGATACAATAATCACAGTGTATCCGGAGCATGAAGACATAAATACGCAGCATGTTCAATAACTGTAGCTTTCCAATGTAAACGGAGGTAATAAAGATGATCACAGTTCGAATGTCCGAGCAACGGTCATCCGGGCAGTGTCATTGTAGTCGAATATAAATTGTAATGAGGACTGAAAGCACGATCATTACGTCACAGCTGGACGTAAGGGTGTTGACAAAGATCCCGTGGATCAATCTGCCGACGGTGACTTCCGTGGCGTGGCCCAGAAGGGATACGCGCCTAAATTGTGTCAAAACATCCTTGTGAACCGCGCGACGGGTGGCCTGAAGCTAGGAGGAAGTAGTCCTTTGCAGTGACGTACCTCTGCTATACGAGAAAGGTTAACTATTTAATTTATGATAATTATAACATCAATGGTCAGGTTACAGACAGATGCACCTCTTATAGAGACCTTGGAGTCACTTTTGATACCAAGCTAACGTGTACTGAGCATATACTCAATATCTCGTCGGCTGCCACTCGACTACTTGGTTCTGTATCAGAAACTGGAAGGGTTTCTCCAATGTTGATACATTAATGACTTTATTTTTTACTTTTGTCAGGAGCAAGTTGGAGTATGCGACTCTGATCTGGTCTCCTATATACCAAAATTCTGTCGTGACCCTTGAGGCCATTCAATGTAAAGCTTTAAAGTATTTTCACCTTAAATGCACAGGTTCTTATCCAGAAAGAGGTTGTGACCATAGTGCCCTATTAGAGTTTTTCAATTTGGATTCACTGTCAACAAGACGAAACATGTTTGCTTTGTCGTTTTTGTGTGGCCTCATTCACAATAAAATTGACTGACAAAATTTACTTGAAAAAATATGTTTCCGCGTTCCAAGGCTAGGGAGTCGACAACAAACGGCATTCTATTGTCAAGCTGGCCGTACAAATGTTATGACAAAATCGCCAATTAATCTCATGTGCTGCGTCATGAACAGTGTTACTGAATCGTGTGATATTTACAGTGACAGTTGTGCATCGATTATTAACTGCTATATAGATCATCCAATCTTATTTAGAATGTGTGGTTCTATAGATTTAAGTCCAAGAACCATGTCTCCTTAATTGTTATTTTATTCAGCATTTGCTGTAATTGGGTTTCACCTGTAGGAAATAAATAAATAAATAAATAAATACTATGAGAGCACAAAATTCCAGCTACTACAGCTTATATTAAAAAAAAAAGTAGGAAACAACCAGTCAGGAGTCGCTGTTGGCTGAAAAATATGACAAAATTATATCGCGGTGACTCATGACGAAGGCACCTAAGAGTCATGCCATGCTCAAATCGTGAGTGGCTAACCACAGGACTGTGCTATTCCGTGCGTTAACGCCCGTCTGTGCTAAGAGATGGCGATACATTAGTTCATTTATAACATGCAGTATACGCTAAGTAAGAGTTTATAACGGGTGATTTTTTAAGAGGTATAGGACTTGATTTTCAAAAAAACACAAAAAATTTGAAAAAACGATTGAAACTTTATTTGAGTCGATAGAACGGTCGATATAATTTAATGTTTAAAGATTATTTCATGTAAATGTTGGCCGCTGCACCGCTTTAGATGGCCCATGCGCAAGGTCCAATTTTGGCACACTCTCTCCAACATATCGGTCGGTATCTCACGAATAAATGCTTCAATATTGGCTTCCAGTGCGTCAATCGTTGCTGGTTTATCCCTGTAGACATTAGCCATAACATGGCCCCACAAGAAATAGTCCAACGGCGTTAAATCACACGATCTAGGCGGCCAATTGACGGGCCCCAAACGTGAGATAAACTGTTCACCGAACTCGCCTCTCAATAGGGCCATTGTTTCGTGTGCGGTGTGGCATGTGGCACCGTCTTGTTGAAACCACATGTCAGCCAAGTGGAGCTCTTCCATTTTGGGCAAAAAAAGTTTGTTATAATCGCACGGTAGCGCTCGCCATTCACAGTTACGTTCCGGCCATTGTCGTCTTTGAAAAAGTACGGCCCGATGATGCTACCGGCCCATAATCCACACCAAACAGTGATTTTTTCGGGGTGCATTGGTAGCTCTTGCAATGCTTCTGACTGGTCTTCACTCCAGATGTGGCAATTTTTCTTGTTAACGTACACATTCAACCAGAAATGAGCTTCGTCGCTGAACACAATTTTTCGATAAAAATATGGATCTTCCTCCAACTTTGCAAGCGCCCATTCACCAAACGGGAAACGTTGTGGAAGGTCATGTGGCTTCAATTCCTGCACCAGCTGTATCTTATAAGGTTTTACACCCAAATCCTGTCGCAAAATTTTCCACGTAGTAGAGTAACAGAGGCCCAATTGCTGCGAACGGCGGCGAATCGACATTTCACGGTCATCACTAACACTGGCGGATACAGCCGCAATATTTTCTTCAGTCCTCACTCCACGTCTGCGTGTTGGTGGTTTAATGTCCAATAATGTAAACTGGGTTCGAAATTTAGTCACAAGCGTCCGAATTGCTCCCTCAGTAGGCCGACCAAGTTGCCCATAAATTGGAAGCAGTGCTCGATGCACTCTTTTAACCGAGCATGAATTTTGATAGTAAAATTCAATAATTTGCAAGCGTTGTTCGTTCGTAAGTCGATTCATGGTTAAATTATAGACCAAACTGAACAAGTTTGACAATGACACAAGACACGATTCACGCGTCATCTGTCAAAAACAGTGTTGCCAAAAAGATACTAGCAAAAAAATCACCCATTATTAGCAGTAGTGATCATGGTATGAGCGTGATTAATGGTGATGCGTTAAACGTTGAGCTATGCGTTTTTTTTGACAAGAGAAAGCTTTTACAGCCACTTTCAGGCAAAAAAGATCGACAGTATTGACCTGTTGGCCCTTCCTGCCCGAAGTGTGAGATTCGTCGGAAGCTGACTGTGAAGTATAATAGTAATGTGTCTTTACTGCTCTCTTGCTTGTTCATGCATGGCAGTTGCATTTCATCTCTTCTACCATCTAACAAAAAGTGCCTCCCTTTCGTCGCTTCTATCTTCGGTGCTCCTCCTGTAGAGCGCGCACCTCTACTCAGCCTGCAAATTACTACTATCACTACTTTCCGCTGGCTTCTGAGCATTATCTACCTTTACTTCTTTTTTCGCAAGCTCTTTTTATAGATAGGAGCTCCATACAGCATATTCGACTTACTACACCTGAAAAATCCTACGCGCCTCACTACTGGAGCCTCCGTCAGATGGCATTAGGCGTATCAGGAATACATCGACGTTATTTGGCTTATACGTTCAGTTAATTTTAGATCTTTGTCGAGCGACACAGCTAGTGGAGTTAGCTTTTATCTGCTAGAAGGTATAACCACTTCTATCTTCTTCAGAACTATTTAGCTACGCTAAGACTACATTTTAAATGGGCTGGTAGTGGGCGATCTATTGGAATGGTGTGGTCTTATCAGACGATTGTGTGGTCATACACACAATCATATCAAATGTTAAACTAAAAAGATCTGGCAATCTTTTCACCGTAGCCTATAGGCCGCGCAGAACCCCACAGAGACTCGTGTAAACGGACACAGAGCAGCACTTGCAGCAGCTGATCTCTAGCTAAGTGCTTGGCTAACTAAGATGTAAGCATACTCACTATTGTTGTTGAGTTACTGCCGGCACACACGGGTGTTAAATTGTCGCGTTGCAAAAAAACGCGCGAACCCTGGCTGTTTGCACTGGACGTCATTTTGTATAGCGGGTATTACGTACCTTGAAATGTGACAGTATCTCGATTTTTTTTTGACATAGTGGTTCTTAGATGTTAACCTAGCACTAGCTGATGGACACTTGTTGTGAATTCGTTTTGTAGTTGTACGTGTTACCTAAATGTCGTGATGCCTCAGTTAGCAATGTTTGGCTCTGATGTGATGTAAAATCCGCTTCAGAGATGGCGTTGTTGAAGATATAAGCTGTAATACTATAGCTGAAAGGAAACGGCAGTACATATGTATGTGCATAGTAAGTATTTGTGTGATGATAATATGCGTTGAATGATAATTCCATTGGTTTCTTGTTTCAGATACACTTAAGATTTTAAGCTAGAAATTAGTTGCGCATCCACTTTTTCTTAAACATTCTGGAAAATACATATGCAAATTTGCAGAATTTCAAAAATGAGAGAGATAAGAAAAGAAAATCCCTGGTTGGCGAGGGAACAGGTGAGAAATGAAAGTGGAAAGGTTATTACATATTTTTTTATTTCCAGCCATTTAAATTGCGAAA